CTCTCTCTTTCTTTCTCTCTCTTTCTCTCTCTTTCTTTCTCTCTCTTTCTTTCTCTCTCTTTCTCTCTCTCTTTTTTTCTTCTCTCTCTTTCTCTCTCTTTCTCTCTTTCTTTCTTTCACTTTTTATCTCCCTCCAGGTTCTGTGTGTCATTCCATTTCGCTTCTTTCTCTTTCCGGTAATATCCCTAATGGACCTGCTGACTAATTGTGCGCGTTAATGACATTAGGCTAGAATGTCAAATGATGAAAACGCGTAGCTATTAGGCAGTTCGTTATCATTACGTAGCATTTGGGTGCAAGAAAAGCATAACCTGAAAAATATTTTTGTTAAGTATTGAAATGTTTATAGTCCATTTCTTTTGGTAAATATGATATAAAGATAGACCAAAAGATAACTAGTAAATAAGAGTAGAACCCAAAATACAACAAAAAGTGAAATGTACAGTCCTTTTTGTGTTTTGAAGTGCTCTGTAATGCGTAGTTTTTATGGTGTAAAATTTGTTGTCTGCAATGATATTAATTCCATAGTTTAATTTATGGTTTAAGAAACGGGAGCACGTTTTATTAAAACTTAAATAATATTCAGTAATATCTATCAGTAATCGATGCAATAGCTAAGCAGTACTTTTCAAACGATAATTTTGCATTGTTTTTTCCCAAATTTTAGACAATCTAACAGTTCTACATTGCAATTCCTACGACAGTGACTCAACTGAATGGATAACATCATATTCAGAAGACCATTCTTTAAAAAAAAAGGTTTATAAATACATAATTACTTAGAAATATAATTCAATTACATGCTTCAATTACATTCCGCTCTACCTAACGAGTTCAAGATTTTGATCCATGGAAATGTAAACTCATTTAGCGGTACTTACTTTCCTTTCACAAAATTTCTTTCATTTTTAATGAATTGTCACATCTGTTGACGGTATTTGAGAAAATGAAAGTATGCAATATATTTTAGACTGGTCCATTTTTGATATAACTAATTTTTGTTTCTTTCTTACCACAAGATTAGAGAAATAAAGACAATATTGGATTTTCAAAAGCGTAAATAATTGGCATTTCCTTAACAACATTTCATAAGAGAAGGTCTGCAGACATTCAAATACAAAACTGAAACTCCATGGGTCATTACATTTCTAATTTAACAGAAGAGAAAAGCGCAAATGGAGACGAGTACTCTGGGAACATGACGCTCGACTTGCATGGCGTTGCTGGAAACAGACGTGCCGGAAGAGTCGCGAATCACAACTCGTGATGTGCACAGAAGCGAGAGCAGCAGGGAGAATTGAGGTGGGAGAAACAGAAAGGAAATGAGTAAGAAGGAATGGACAAGGAGTTATGGAGAAGGAAAGAAAGAAGAAAGAACAGGAAAGAAGAAAGGAGAGGAAAGAAGAAAGGAGAGGAAAGAAGAAAGGAGAGGAAAGAAGAAAGGAGATGAAAGAAAAAAGGAAAGGAAAGATGAAAGGAAAGGAAAGAAGAAAGGAAAGGAAGGAGAGGAGGAGAGGAGACGGAAGGAAATGGGAAGAACGCCAGGCAAAAGGGGCAACGGCGAGGCAAGGAACAGGAAAGCTGAAAGAGGAGACGGAGGAGGAAGGTGGGAAAAAGAGTAGGAAGATGAGAGGAGTGTGAGGACAAAGAAGGGATAAATGGAGAGGGTAGAGTAGGCAGAAGAAGGAGGGCATGAATGGAAAAGAGGGACTAGAGGAAGAAGAAAAAACAGGGAACGGGAAAAGTGGAGGTGGGAGGACGGGGGAGACAGTAGGGAAATTGTGAAGAGAGAGGAAGAAGAGATATGGTAGGAGGGCGAAATAGTTTGAAAGGTCAGGGTTTTTCGATCTGAGCACTGCGCTTGGAAACCGGCTCAGAACGCAGATACCACTTCTGGACATCCTTGTGCCCGTTCGGGGCCCAGCAATGCGACGGACTCTGCAGTAATTACCAGGCGCGCTTGGCGAAGAGCAGTCTCCGCGATGTAATTTAGAGGAAATGAGAGTCTCTGCGTCGAGACTATGCAGTAAATACGTAATCGGAATGGCTATTAAATCCAAGGCAAGGCACATCACTTAATGCTTACAAATAAACTTATAATAAGAAAAAATATTTATTTAGGTCACAGGAATACAAGTTTGCGTAGTGATAATACGTCAACAACGCGAAAGTATAATTTGGCATCTACAGACATATTTTCTTCAAATAAAAGATATTTATTCAGAATAATAACTATTGTGGGAAATTATTTTTATCAAATGCAGCAAAAGCATCTTCAGTTATTTTATTTACTACAAGATATCTGATCTCATATTTATTTTGCAAGTGTAAACAACGACCATCTCAAATTATTACATCCATTATCGTACATCCATCTCAACTTGTTTTAATAGTATATTTTAGAGAAACTAATATGAGTAAAAGTTGAATTTTAGTTAAAAGTAAAGTCAGATTTTACGAAACAATTGAGGACGGAACGAATACAAAATTCTAGGCAAGGCAGCATTTAATTGCAGTTTCTAGTACAGCGGACCATTGTTCCATTCTTTAATCCATCCTCAATATCTCCACCACCACAACTGGACCAAAAGTAGAATAAAAGAAAGAACGTGAAACGGAAAACAAAAGGACGACAGCCTCAGACAGATAAGAATGGACGAAAGAGGAAGAAAAAACAGAGTCCCCTCAAAGAACGTGCTAAGAACGCACAGGTCCTCGCAGCGTCGTCATGAGCGGCCCAGCGCATTGTGCGGGCAACTCCAGCGCCGACGGGGCTCGCGCGGGAAGAGCCGTCGAAATCGCTTCGCGGGACGGGCACAAACTTTTTTTTCCTTCTCCCGGCCATCGGGACGCGCAGGCAGGCGACTTCAGCGGGCCGCTCAAATATTCATGCAGACGGTCGTTGCCACACTCAGCGAAAGCTGTTTTATTCATGTACAGACGCTAGAGAAACTTAGCCGCGGGCTTTACAGCTCAATAACCGCCGCCTTCCCTTCCAATGAGGTCGGGTGGCAAATGTGGCAACTTCGCGTGCGCCAAGTTTTGGGGTGAAAGCAATGTGACGCACAACTTCTCTGTTACCTTAGGGTGTGTTAAGCAGCGTTCTGTGTCGCTAAGTGTGATATTAGATATAGCCGAACATAACGGTGAAATTAATGGAGTTTAGAGGCCTCGTGAAAATGGGAATTGAACATGATGGAAAGTAAACGTTGGAGTAACTATCAAAATATATCAGTATCTGATTATAAGCTCATTTCATGGCATCTGTTTGAATCTTCATATTTTCTTCCTCATTTAACGGTTATTTTGGAACTTAAAATTATTATAATATCCTATGTTTAATTAAAACATTTGTTTTGAATCATGAGAAATATTCTCGATTGTTTCTTCTTTAGTCTTCTCACTAATTGTGAGACCAAATACATATTCCTGCTTGATTGAGATCTGCTTTAAAAATGTTTTTGAGTCGTTCGTGGCTTACTGTAAAGTATTTAGCCTTCTTCACAATTTAATTATACAATGCCAAGTCAAAGAAAAAAGGAAGGGAAATGTTTGCACTGTTTCTGCAAGTGAAGTGATGTGAATCCAGAAATAATAAAAAATAGGCCATGCAAGAACACAAAAAAATAAAATTTCAAAAAACTGGCTGTTGAGAGTTCTGAAATTTTAAATCTAGCAATATAGCGATAGAAAATTATGCTTTGATCAATTTTTTTCATAAATTGCATATACGAATGTTTGAACATAAACAATGCACTACCGTAAGGAAATTCGGCTAATTATGATTTTATTTGAAAATTCAATGGTGGGAGGAATATTTAACAGATTTGTACAAAAGGAAAACGTGAATGATCTTTGCAAACATATGCATGTTATACATAAAATGCCCGTGACATGAAAAAGCTATTTTTGATTAAATATTCTTCATGAAAATGTTCCATTATTTCATTCTTTTCAATAAAATATATACCAACAAAAATATTCGAAGTATGAAATAAATAAGAGTTTAAGAACATGGAAGATTAAGTTATTTATTTTAATTTTTACGTTGTTTATTTTAATTTCAATTAATTCTTAATACAAGGAATGTTATAAAAACAATACTAATAAAAAGTAATATAAATAACGAGATGAACATTAGTTTGAAGTGGTCATGCATTTTGGAAAAACTCTGCCGAAACTATCATTTGATCATATAAAATTGATAACTGATAAACGTACATATTTTTATTTATTAAACATTAATCAATGCGATCCAAAGTTCATTTTCTCATTTCAATAGTATCTCCGATCAGAAACAATTACAGTTTATTAACACACAACAGTCACACAATGTATACCAAATTCTTAGCAGAATTTCATTATCATAAACAAAGATATTCTCCTAATATTGTTCACTATAGCTGAATGTAAGTAATTTTCTCAAAGTTCAGGAGTTCAAAAATTGGTGTCCAAAAGTTTGAATGTCTACCATCCAAAAATGGTGGACTTTACAGAAAATCTCAAAACAAATTATCTTTTATTTTAGCGTCTTAAATTTAATCAATTGTAATTCAGTATATAATAATTGATTCGATAAAACGCATAGTTTTCAATAATTAACCAAAAAACTAAATAAGGGAAAATTTTAATTTTTGTTTTGTGAAGCTGACCTGTTTTTATGTGTCAATCATCAAATTCTAATTTAGCACCCTCGAACATCAATAGAACCGCTGAGAAAAAATTCAGGAATTCCGGAAATTATTCTCCGTTCAGATAATTATTGACTGCACTAAACCAAAAAATAATAATTTCTTCACTTACTTAGCACTCCAGGTATCGAAAATAATTTTACAAAACGTAACCAACAACTTTCCCGGCACACGGGTTACAAGAGCTTAACACCACGGTCCACCGTTTACAAGGCAGCAATATCGATATTTCATTCAGTCTGGCAGTATCAGTGGCTACGATTGGTAAGCACAGAGTTGGAAAGCGAGTCTCTTCTAGCTAGTCCGCGAAGCAAACTCGTGACGTTTTCTGAGTGAGAAGTTGAAACGTAAACCGTCAGACTCATTCCTTTGCTGGCAGATCACAGGCTGGTCGTTGTAAGCTTGAAGACGAAATTGCTAATATTAAACTCAATAATTTGTCGCGATGTCTGAACATACTTTTTCAGAAACCACCAGTGATTCTTCGTATTCAGATAGTGAAGGCTCGTACACACTCACAACAACATCAGATAGTGAAGATGAAAATGCAGTCGAAACCGTTGATGCAAAAGGTAAAACGGCGCATAAAAAAGGTACGACCACTTTTAAAAACGGGAGACCCGACAATGAAAACGGCACCAACGTCATCACGAGCGTAACGCCTGAACCCGCCGAGTTCCTGATCAATCCTAGCAACACGGGCACGTACAAGATAAAAACGAAGGGTGGCAGCATTGCACTTCGCAACGGTGACGTCGTCAGGATCCCATCGCCGTTGCATCTGTCTCCGCAAACGAGCGGCTCCACGATGGACGCAGCGAAGACGTGGTACCCGTCCACTTCGTCGGCGGAGTCGAAGGCTGCCAAAGCCGGCACGCGGTTTCTGGCCTTGGCGCGCCTGCGCCGTCTGCCGGTAATGCGCTGCGCGGCGACCGCCTTGAAGGGGGCGAGAGCCAGCAAGTGCCTGGGCTGGGCCGTCACCCTGGGCGAGGCGGCCGCTAGCATGGCGGTCGCGCCAGTCAGCGCCGTGGCCTCGCCGTTCGCCTCCATGTGCAGCGTGCCCATAAATTGTGTGGACAGGGCGATCTGTAAAGGGCTGGATATAGCCGAGGTGCTGTTTCCTTGCATTGCCATGCATCCGTGCCAGGTACGTAGAACTGTGAAGCGATCATCACGCTTCAAAAATTAAGTAATTGCTTACTGCAAGTAGATATTTTTTCAAGTCTTGAAAGTAAAAATTTAGATCAGAGATAACCTCCCTTGTGATAACAAACTTAACAACTAATCGAATTAATGTAAAAATTATCGCGTAATTACTTAAAAATTAATAATTTAAATTTGTAAAAGTGTGGTGATATTTGAAACTACTTCCTTTGCAAATTTCTTCAAAATATTCGTAATGACACAAATTTATTGATTAATTTATAATCACGAGATATTTGAATGGTGTGTTAACTATTGTTTCTGTGTTCAGATGTGCTGGAGAATGAAGACGTACTGCGCAAATGTTGATGTGCAAGATTAACGGGCTTATTACTGCAGACTTCATCCCGTGTGAAAATTCTCTCGAGAAGCTGCATGAACGCTGTAAACAATGATGTGTCATATTCCCATGTGTAGTGAATATAATTCGATAATATTGTATTCGTTCTTTCAAAGAATATTTCATTATCAGAACCTAAATTCAAACGTTGAAACTCATCAGTTTGTTGACCAGATTGTCTTTAAGTCAGTATACGAACATACGCGCTTTAAAATTTAAACATTTGCATTTTCAATTTTCAAAAGTTTAGATATTTTCGCACATTTTATTTCAACATTAGATTTAAAATAGATATTTCATTACGATAAGCAATGTCCAGAATTATTGGAACATATTGTTCTCAGATTATATTTATTCCTTTTAAAATTAAGTTTCTTATCCTATTGGTTTGGATACTGTCTCGGGTGTTTTGTCAATAATAAATGTAAATATAACTCATTACACTTACAATATTATTTACAAAAATTATTAAAAACAGAATTGTTATTCAGCCAGCCCCCATTAATTCAAGTTTTCCAACACCTAAAGTCGATAATTCTCTAATGGATATGTTGGGTGTGAAATTCACCCAACAATTTCCACGACTACTATTCAAACTAAAGATGAATGGATACATGAGATGGATGGTTTGTGTGTAACAGTTGTTCGTAATAAGATTTTTCTAAGCTAAGTGTTGTCAACTTAATGTAGGTCAACCTACAGATGCACTAGTTGGTATTACTTAAATTGTTTTAGTTGACAATTGCCCAAGAAGTCATAACACTGTCATGTAAATAAAATTTGGTGTCTCACTTGTAATTTGTTGGTATCAGATCGTATATTGAAAGTATTGTGAACTTTGTGTATATGTAATATCCCTGATATTAGACGTTTTTGTAATTTTTCTTTGCCCAATAGTTTACTGTTTCCCATTCATGATGGGTTGATATTTAAATGAGTGCTTAGTAATTTTTACATTGTTACTGTTTGATGTTGTTCATGGTGTTCCTTAAATGTAGTTTTAAGTGCTCTTTTACTAGTGCCTGTATAATTTTCTTTGCTTCCTTCCAGACTACTATTGTGTGATATTGTGTGAATTGATGTGATAAACTATATATGTGTATTATTCGTAGGTATGAACTATCGGCAAAGTAAGTTTCGCTAATCACATGGACATAAACGCAATTCAAAAGAAGATTGTTTCCGAAAATGATAAAGTTATGCGAAATATAACACTTAAAACATTTTGTGATTTGACAAAAACTATTAATTTTAAGTCTATTAAAAATAATTCCACTACCTTCCTGACTACAGAACGTGTTAGTGGAAGTAATTTTTATTCGGCAGAAAAATCCATTGCCGGGTTTTCATAACGGAAATGTGTAAAAATTCAGTTGCTACATTAAGACTAAAATATTCTAAAACGTATAGCCAGAATCCCTGTCCATTTTACTGTAAATGTAGATTATATAGATATATTATATTAATTTATTCTTTCCGGCTATTTGTTTCATAAAATACATTTTTTACATGAATTATTTAAATCTATATGCATACTTTTATATTTATTATCTATTAAATTAATTTTCTCCTTTACGTATTTTATAATTGAATATTATTCAATTCAAATCCTTTATCAAATTTTTGCCTATACTGTTTTGTAGAAATTACTAAATGTTGAGTTTGTCTTGTTTCTCTTCTTATTTAATCTTTCTCTTTGAATTTCGTTCACTAAATTTTGTTATCTGATGTTAAATTAATTTTAAAATAAAAATATTTGTTTTTATTTAACTGTTTTTGACATAACTATTAGTGTCTAGCATGTTTAGCACTGGCGTGTATCTAGAGCATTATGAGGAGACATATTAAAACTACTTTAATAATATTCTGAGTTATAGCAATATCCCTCGTATTATAAATTAAAGCTGAAAATAATTTTGTATAATTGGAAAAAAAGTTTACAATTTCTAATAAAAATCTCTAATCAAATTACTAGGAAACTGACTCATTTCATTTGGAATGAACATCGTCTAAAACTAACTTTACCCAAAAGCGTATCTATACCGCACGAACATTCAAGATCATGCATTAAAGAAGGGGTTTGTAAACGCGTGAGTGTAGAAGTAGATCGACGACCGTCAGCGAGCAGGTTGTTACTTTGCAATGATTCACTCAGGATACATTAGCAGAGCGCTTCCGATATGAAACTGTGTAACTGTGGATAATTTGTGCACACGTGTATGCTTTACAGGCTTTTCCCTCCCTAACTCGCTGGACTTATTTAATAATATATTGCATTGGACACTCAGTGAAGTTTGAGTTCAACCAATGTTCAAATATTTGTTAGAGATGTTGATCTGAGTTATTACCAACCAAATTTTAGTTTAGTTTTACAATTGCATTTTTAGAATGACAATTATAATTTTACAATTAGCTTAAGATGGAATCATAGACAAACGCATAAACTGCAGCTGATAGTACGTGCAAAATGCAAGGTAAGAACGTCGTTTTAAGAAGAGGAAATATTTACTCTCGAAACAAGGTTATTCTGTTCGTTTTGAAGTTACTTGTGATTATTCTGTAGGCACTACAAATTGTGCAGCAATGTGACAAACTTCAAGTCTTGTCACAGATATAAACCAATGTTTTTCTTCGGCAAAATGTTTAATATTGATCAACAACGCCAAAACTGCATATACAAGAGGGGGGGATTTCGTACCTCATTTTTGTTAAAGTATAAATTATACAAAAAACACAAGCTCGGAAGTCACCACTTCCATCTTCGGATATGAATGAAATCTTAAATTTATGGAGATGCTAAGGTCTGTAGGAAGGTGATCTTATCAAAGAATCTCGAAAGGTTCCAATTTTGTAAAGTTGCAAGAATACGATCCAATGGTCGCCTCCAAACACGTTTATTCTGAGTCTATAAATTTAAAAACCTTCAATCAAAACAAAATACATGTTAACAGTCGGAACAAAAGGTACCTTGAGGGTGCGGTAACATGAGGGACACCTCTTGGCTCCACGGCGAACCCGAGAACAAATAACAATATAATATTGAAGAATTGTTTTATATTAATGAACTAATCCTACGTGTATTTAACATTAGTATATTTCATGATTTTTCTGCCTGTTTATGTTAAAATAATTTAAGTTTTTGATATATGACAAGGTCATGTATATTTTAACCATTTTCTAAACTAGCGGTTGGTTTTTCGGAGACACTGATGGCTACATCCGTCTCTTGAAGAGCTAGTAAAACATTCATGTATATATGCTTGAAACAACTGTTATCTACTTCAATAGATTCCAAAACAAGATGGTAATTTGTTTTTCAGCTGACCTAGATTTCAGATTGATTGGCTGATTGATTAGGGAATCTGGGAGTGTCAATGGCTAAGGTCATTAATCCAGTAAGTGTAGTACACGATGTACCTCGGGTTGGCAATGATCTTCCTTCGGTGGACGGTGAGTTCTGGCCTGACGATTATCAGGGTTTTCCCCAACCAGGTATCTTCCACCAGCGGGGCACCGCCACAGCCAGGACAAGCCCTAAGGACCAGTCATATGTAATGTAAGTGCGCTGTAAAGCATGTAAGTGTGTGTTTAAGTAAAGTGTGAGGATAGAACAGGACACAGAAGGAATGATCACGCGAGCTCCTTGGTGCGTTTGTTAGGGTATTGTTCCGGCATTCGCCTGGCGTTGATCGGAGAAACCTTGGAAAACTACCGATCAGAGCAGCTGGCCGCCAGAATCCCACTCCTGTGGTTGAATTCGGCTTAACTATTATCTAACGTAGAAACATTAGCCGGATTGGAACTGAAGCTCTTGGATCTCCCGGTCAGAGGCACTACTGTGACGTCACTTGAAACCTTGAGTTATCTCTTCCTGTTTTAGCTTTTAGTCGCAGCGATTACGCATGGCAACGGTTTTGGATTGTTATGTAAATATTTAATAAACGTCGAAAGACAAAGATATCAGCTTCTAATAAGAAAAATTTGAGGTTACGTTTTTGAGGATAAAAATATCAAATATTTATCCGTGTGGCGTTGAAATTGTCATACATTTTCCATTCCTATTATAAACAATATAAATATGAATTAGTAAAATTGCGGAATTACATTCTAAAACTACCTAGGAAGCTACAGTTATTTTTGGACATATGTAGTATATATTTGTATCATACATTCAGATTTCATGTATTATACGTTTTAATATATCGTAATGCCTATAAAATTAAAAAAAGATTCAGAGATACACATGCAAAAACTAATTTATCTGAAGATACGTTATTTCCTATTAACAATAATGTTTACGTACTACGACAATGGATTTCCCGTCTTGCCAAAACTCTTTAATAATTTGCTTAATTTACAACTAAACATGTGTGCATTCGTCATTCGACAATCTTAACCACATTCGTAAGAAAATTATCTCTTTCAAACATTTTGTCTCTTGTACACTTAATGATCTCATGCAATTAAAATGAATATTCAAGTCACTTTTATAAATAAAGCGGAGAAAAACTCAGAATTATTTCGGATTAGACAACTGCGTAAATTAACAAGCAGTCCTCTAAATACGCAATTCTGTGCATTGATGAAATCACTTGGATATCTCAGATGTTATCCAATGGTGGCACTCAGCTAAACTATTGACACTCATGTATCCTTGAGTGTGTGATGTTAAAGCTAAGCGAAAAATATCCAGAAAAGTAATTATTTTGTAAATATATTAAGGTTTATGGTTATAAATCATACCCTCTTCATTTGAAGACCCATAGTCCTCTGGACCTTTAAAGGAAGCTATCTTCAGAGTTTCATCAGTATCGATTCAGTAGATTCAGAAATTATCGCGTTGTAAGTTAACGCACATTTGTCTTTATATATTAATATACAAATAAAGATAAAATAAAATACATGAAAATGAGATTGAAACCATGATGTTCAGTGAATTTAGCATTATTTGTTCAAAAACATGAAATAACAAATATCAAACAGGCTTTGAGAAAATATGGTATTTAAAATTGCCTATATTCCCAAGAGACACGAAAATTACCACAATTTATGAAAAATTGTTCACATTTTTAACAATCCAACTCTGATATTCTATTAATGAAAATGTTCTACCTTCAATGTTTAAATTTTGTGAATTCAACGCAAACGAAACCTCCCCCATGTATTTAATCTTTTTATTCTATCTGTGAAAACAATGTAAACAGAACACTTTGAGCCAATTTTGATGAAAATTTTGGAAATGTCGCTGGGGTTCATGGAAAGTAACTAAAATACTAAGCGGGATAACAGTTGCTCACGAAACCTCCAAGCATACCTAATTCTAATAACATCAAATTTTCACATACAACTATCTCGTTTACGCACCCATGTATTTTTTCACAAATTATTATAACTTCATATCACAAATGGTATTGAGAAAAGGCTCAATTCATTTTCATTGAGATAACACATTCTGCCCCCCATTCTTTGAAACAGTCAGATAGGGCACATCACGCCACTTCCCTCGAACAATTGAGCGAGGTCTGTTTCAATTCCGCCGTGGATGGAATCGCAGACCGGCAGATTTGGTAACGACTGACAGGCGAAGAGGCAGGGGTGAGTCAGTATCTACATTGGAGCAAATGCCGCGCCCTGCTGACACATATCTTTGTCATGCGGCAGCACTCAATGGGAGGGAACTATGCTGACGGCATGATATCGCCCTTGCTGAATGTGTTCTCGCTCAGGCGTTAACTACGCAATTTGCGACTTTCGTTCTTGCTCGTCGGTTGTATCTCGTAGCTGAAACACGACGATCTTTCTGCGGGTCGTCTGTTTGTCTTCTTCATTATCTGAGGGAATACATGTTCGAAACATTTGTGTTTTATTGGCATGCGGAAATTAAAAATGTTCCCTTTAACCTTCATTCGCAATAGACAAGGTTTGTTTTATTGTGTTGTTCTTTGGAATGACAGCTTCTGTTTTTCGCGCAATGTCATGGAATTTCAATTTTTAAGATTTATCTCTTAATTCTATGCTCGTTCATCTCGTTCGATGTTTTTAATATTCCATTGTTTATACAAATCTACAAATATTTTCTTCTAGACAACATGTGCCGCTACACATATCCAGAGCATTTGAACTATGGATATTTACCATTTATCCATTTTTAAATAAAATGTAAACACAAGACAAATTGATAATTCACGTTCTATAACATCAATTTGAGTTTCAATAATTTTCAATAATTATCACATAAGAAAAAATACGACTGGTAAGTGTTATGACAGATCCGTATTTCAAATATTGTATTTACTTTGTGATTGTACTAAAAATATGCATTCGAGTAGATTTTTTGGCCTGTCTTGACTCTTGAAAATCAATAAAAAGAAACATCTGTGTAAAGTAGAATTATTGAGTGTTTACAGTTACAAAATCAAATAAGTTTTTAAGTGGAAAGAATAAGTAGTAAAAAGCAGATATTTGATTATTTCACCTTATAATATGATGCATAGGTGAAGGTGAACATGATGGGCCCGATAATATAACAAAGCGCAAGAATTTTCCCAGAAATATATATTGCAGTAAAATATGTTTTTACTCTACTTCTATGTGTACCTACTTGTTTCCAATTGTCACTTAAATAGTTAAATTTCAAACACACGGTGTCTTAAAGAATGATAATAATCTTTTGACACCAAATAGTTCAGCACACGTCCTTGAATTTACTACAAAATGCGTTTAACGTTGTGTACAATGCTGTGTAGCAATGTGTTTAATAATGCGGTGCACGTAGAGCGACTACTTGCAGCCTTGATTTTCCCACAGAATGTGTTTAACAGCGTCTATCTACTTCTTCTGCACTCCCGCCTGACGATTGTCGCAGTGTCGTGCAAGGCACAGCTAACATCAAGCTCAATTTACCTCTGCCTAAGTTTGCAGCTAAGATTCGTCTTCCTTCTTACTCCA